AGGGGGAAAAAATTAGCCCTATGAAAATTTTTTTCAAAATAGAATGAGCAAGGGGGGAAGAGTATATGGAGAAAAAAAGAGAGGTTTAAGAGAGTGGGGAAAACAATTTTAAAAAGAGAGCAAATGAAAAGTGGGGGAGAAGTTATCAACAAATTTTTTTGAAAAAAAAAAAAAGTTTTGGGAAATGAATTTTAAAAAGTTAAGAAAACCTAGAGAACCCAAAAGATTTTTCAATTAAAAATAAAGGGAGTTAAAATGGAGAGTTAGAGGTATTGGGAAAAAAGGAAAGGGAAAAAAAAAATTTTGAGGAATTGTTTTAAAAGTTGAAAGATAGGGAAGCGGGTTTTGTGTAAGGCAAGGAGGAAAAACAACTTGTAGAGTGGGGGAAGAGCCAGTTTTGATGTTGGGGGGAAATTCGTGAGGCGGAGGGAAAATGAAAAGGGGGGAAGGCAGCCCGGGTTTTAGGGGTAAAAAAAAGTGTTTTAAAAACAGGTGGGGAAAAAAGTTTTGGGGTGGTTTTGGGGCAATTATTTTAAAAAATGTAATTTAAAGGGTAAGGAAACCCAGGGGTTGGGGGAGAGAGCATAGCATGTTTTTTTTTTATAAAAGGGAAAGGGGATAAAAAGGGGTGCAAAAAAATTTTAGGGGGATAAATCCCGCTGAGTATACCTGGTAAAATGGTTGGTTTGAGTTATTAAATTTAAAGAAATTTAAAAGAAAACGGAGAAAAAAGGATAGCCGATGCAAGGAGGCTTTAGGAAAGGGAGGGGGGGTGTGGCCCGGGGTTTTTCAGGAAAAAATAAGTGGGAAAATTTTTTAATAAGGGGTAAAGAGGTCTTTGTGGCATTTAAGGATTTGGAACGGCGTAGGGCGGGTGGATAGGGGGGGCAATGTGGGAAAAGTTGCAGGTGTATGGGGTGGGGGAAAGGGGCCCGAAACATGAAGAGTTTTTTCGAGGGTGGGGGGAGGCTCAATTAGAGTAAAAGTAGGAAAAAAGGGAAATTATTTCCCATAAAATAAGGGGCCTTGACAAGGAGGTGATGTCACCGTGGTTTTTTAATATAATTTTTAGATGGGGTTTGTAAGAGAAGTAAATGCCCAGGGCTTGGCAAAGGCGTGGGGTTAAAAAAGTAAAAAATCACACACAAAGTGGGAGTTGTCACCCGCTGGGCCTTTTCTGATGACACTGTGCTCTTGGGAAAATTCGAAGAGAATTTGCAGAGATTGGTGGGTGAAATTTTGGTAGGGTGTCAAAAAAAAGAAAATTAAAAGGGGAATACGGAAAAAGTAAGGTTATAGGATTAAAAAAAAGATTAGGAAAGAAAAAATGAATAACAGATTGGGGGGGAAGTATGGAGGGGGTTTAAAATTTTTCAGATAATTTTGGGGGTGGAAAGGTCAGCAGGTGGGGCCCATGAAAATTTAGGGGAATCATAGAAATTTATGAAGGGAAAAAGTTAGTGGTTTCCCTTTGGAGTCTGTGGAACAAAAACTTTTTTCCTTGGAGGCAAAGGGGAATTTGAGAGTATAGGTTTTTCCAACGCTCTTTTAAAGGGGGGAAGCATTGGGATGAATTTTGCAGCGAAGGAAAGGGTGGAGGCAGTGGAGATGTCATGTCTTAGGGCAAAAATTTTGGGTGAATATAATGCAGAGAATTCGTAGTTTTTGGGAAATTAGGGAGGGGGCGGGATTACCAAAACTGTTGTCCAGAGGGCTGAGGAAGGTTTTTTGAGGTGGTTCGGACATGTAGAGAAAAGGAGCCCAAACAAGGGGACTTTAAGAGTGTATCATCCGTATGAAGGAAGGCGGGGGAAGGGGGGTTTGGGCCCAGGAAAAGGTTTGGGAGGGGGGGGTAAAGGAAATTTTTGGTGCGAGGGGGAAGGGCTTCCAGCAGCATGCTGAGCGTGGTTTTATAGGATTTAATGGGGACAAAAAAAAGGTTTTTTTTTAAAACTTTACGTGCTGTTTGGGGTGTGAAACCCCAAAAACAATTTTTTGAAGGGGTTTTTAGGGGAAAACCGGGAGGGCCACTTGAGTCCCGGAAGGGAAGTACATGCCTGCAAACCCGAAAGGGGGGGTGGTTTTAAAAAAATTTCATTTAAAAACTGTAAGGGAAAGCACCCTTTTGGCAAACTTGAAAAGAAAGGGTGGTAAAGTTTTTCTTTTTTTGGGCCCCCCCCGTGGGGGGAATCGGCCCCTTTTGATAATAAATAAATAAAAAAAATAAAAATGTACAAATTCCTTAAAAAAATTTTAAAAATGAACAAATGAAATATGAAAAGAAGGAAAAAAAAATTTTGATAAAATCGCATTGGCCAATTGGGGGAAAAAAAAAAAGGAAACTGAAGCCTACATCCCCGTAAACCATAAGATTTAGAAAGGAAAGTAAAAAAATTGGGCCCGTGATTTTTTAATATTCCTAAAGGGATACTGAAACCACAAAGTAAACTGAGCACAAAAAGGTTCCAAAAGGAGTTAGAAAATTTTTTCTTCACAAAGGCTGATAGACTCCCATCAAAAGAAAATGGGCCCTTGGGTAAAAGGAAAAAAACATTCTTTTTAAAATAAATAAATCATCATTTTTTATAAAAAATTTTATGCAACTTTTGGGAAAAGTTGTTAAATTGTCGAAGTTTTTTTTGCAGGGGTTGAAATTAATAATAAACACACAGCAGTTTTTTTTTCACCTATTATTTTTGGGAGCTGGTTTAAGATGTAGAAGCAGCTATTTTGGGAAACTGACTCCCCTTTAAATTTTAAGTGGCATAAAAGAAAACAAAAGGGGCTGCTTGATATATATAAGCGTTCGGACAGCTACAAAAAACGAGGGGTGGACATCAGCTGCAGCTGGTAGGGTGCAAAACCCCTGTTGTGTTTTTTTTCTAGTTCAAATGGCACATGACCCCCCCCTTAATTAGTAAAGCATTATGCCAATGAAAAACAATTGGCACAATATATCAAAGATTATGATATCCCCCCAGCTCCTGGAACGGGTGGAACCAAATAGCAGGACATTTCCCCTCTTTAATTTAGCTGAGGGGCTAGAAAAAATGAAATTTCATTTTGTCGGGTGTAAAAAATGCAATTTTTAAAAAAAATGATTTGGTTTATATAGGCTTTTAATTGAATTAAAAAGTTGCCCCTGTCCTTTTTAGCAGTTTTTTTAAAGATATTTTTTTCCCTAGCCATGATGAGTTCTCTGTCTACTGAAGGGGACCAGTTGTGGGTTGGGGGGAGTAGTCCAAGCTAATGGCAAATATGACCATTTCTAAAGTCCAAGTTAGTCTACATTTCTTTTTTTTCTTTTTTTATTTTTTATGGTTTGGTATAAAAGATACTATGAGATTAAATAAAGAATCTAGAACATGGGTGGAAGAGGAAAAAAAGGGGGGTAAAAAGTAAGTGATATTAAAAATTTTTACGGAAACTTTATTACTTAAAAAAATTTATTTTTTTTAGAATAGGGAAAAGGAAACGGTGAATTGCATGGGAGTCCCAAAAAAACTTTTTCTGTTTTTTTTAGGGGAAAAAAAGGTGGCTAGGTGTGGAAAGGAAACAGCCTCCCAAATAAAGCAATTGTGGGCCCCCTATGATGCCTTTGGGGGTGCCCAGTAAACATTTTTTTTTTAGTTTTTATAAGAAATTAAGATCTAAAAAATGTATTAAAAAAGCAATTTGGAAAAATAATCCTTTCATTTTTTGCCAAAAAGTATTAAAAAATTTTTTTAACACCGCTGTCCCCCACTGAGGTTTGGGTGACCTTAAAAGATCAATAGGAAATGTTTGACTGAAGAAGGCTTTGGTTAATTTAAGTTTTCCTTTTTATAGCACAGTAAAAAAATCAAAACCCTTTCCCGTAAACCCTTTCCCCGACCCGTGAATTTTTCAAGCATATACTCCCGGGGAAGCGGAATAGAATTCTTCCTTTGTAAGCCATGTGTGTTGTAAGAGGCAACTAAAATATCAGGAGGAAGGGGCTAGTAACCCCTTCTCCTGTATATACATATTACTAAATGTAAAAGGAGAAACTTTTGTTTTTCCTTTTGCGCCACCCTGCTTCAGTGGGATATGGCTGGTGCATTGAAAGAGAAGATTAAGAAAGTATGATTGTTGATAGATAAATGGATATTACTTTAAATGTTTGGAAAAAGGATTTTATGTAAAACTTTGCTATTTATTCTTGGAGGCTCAGTGAATTCTAAATCAGCAAAAATTATTCATCACTATCAGTGGATTGAGAACATCCTAGACATGAATTTTAATACTTAAAGTTTACCTAGTAGCTGCTCCTCATGTATACAACATTAATACTCATGAAGTAAGTCTTTATTGATCATTAATCGATACCTAAGGTACCTAGAACTACCTGCCATTTGCTGATGAGGCAAATTTTATAACTTCGGGCAGCTGCTTCTGTCAGGTGGTGCCAGTGGTCTGATTTTTTTGTGTGTATCTGTGCTTAACTCACTATATATTGTTTACCCATGTAATTTCATTGTTGGGATTACTCATGTACTGTAACATTAATTCTTACAAAAATCAGCATCTGTCTTGTCTGTCACTTGTATACAGTCTGTTGTAACCTTACTTGGCTTTGCTGCTTCTATTTTATATACTTGTTTACTTCACTAAACCTTTATTTGTGATTTTAGGTCACCTTATTTTCACTTTTGTAGTAATACACCTCTGTAGGAAGTAGTGTTTTGCCATCCTGCCATGTGACTGAAATGGAAGCCTGGCAGGATTGCTGGCCTTTTGTGTCTAATGAATACAAACGATAAGTAAATGTTACAAACTTCTGCTTATATTTGGTATATACTTTACTGGCCTACATATTCTTTCTAATAGTTCTCATTCCCGTAATATTTTCTTAACAATTTAGTTGGACTGGTCTGAGACAGAGCCGTGGGGCTGATGATCCTCAGAATCGTTAACATATATTAACATAAGTAGATTTTGTAATAAATCACTCAAAATCTTAATCTATATTATGCTTTCAGGGACCCAAAACTGGGGAACGTGGAAGCATTTTGGACACATCAGAAAATGTAGACTTAACTTCTCTGACTCGCAATACGGTAGTGGTGGCTACTGCGCTTCTCCGACACATCTATAACACTTCTGTAGATGGGATCTTTGACAATGGTTTGGTGAGTAGCTTTTGAGCTATCTCGTTCCAGTAGTGACTCAGCATGTTGCATTTACCGTATATAGTTCTTATTACTTCTACCCCTGGAGGTGGTAAGTACAGTGCCTGTGCTCTGAAGGATGGGTAGGGATATTGCAGTTTGAAGAATCATCTGAAGAGCGGTGTCAGCACACTTCTGGCAAGACAATGATTGTAAGTTTGACATTATTGATCACTAGCACCTTGCTCATTTCTTGTTACTTCTACTCAGCATTATACCCCCATCCCCCTTTTTTTATTTCAGGCTGTGACCAAAAAGAGTGTAAAATCCTGGTTGGATCTGTTGACATCACAACCAAGGTCTCCTCAGCTCCTCTCAGGAAAAAATAACCCACTTGTGTCCACACTTCATCAAATTCTAACTAGGTAGGAAGATTGTAACTCGTTGTTTTATTGTACAGCTTCTCCTCATTTAACGACGGAGTTTCGTTTCTAAGACCACGTCGGTAAACGAATTCATTGCTAAGTGAGGAGCATACTATAATGGTAGTGGATTTGTGTTAATCATATTTCATATTGTTTAATGTCACCTTTGAAGCATTTATAACATATCTGGTATATTTTTAAATGTTTATACTGTAGTGTACTGTATATTGTAATAAACAAAATAGAGGAAATCAGCTCTAATATACATTATTTAGGTGTGCATACTGGTCAGAGAGCCCAGTGTAAGTCCAAGTCGTTGGTAAACGAGTACATTGCTAAGTGAGGAGAGGCTGTACTGTATAATTATTTACCCTTTGAATATTAGTGCTGATGCTGCATTTATAAAAATCTGATAAATAATGCCAAACTCATTTGTTTACCAAAAAAAACACATTTTAGTACTGTAATTTTTTTTTCAACCCATCGACCGTCTCCTACCAAGAGGGTAACCATAATTATATGAATAAATATAAAATATTATTTTAGCAGCATGATGGGAGAACATATGGTAGATGTTCAGTACTGTAGTTGAAAGTCAGTTTTAAGCTTATCTTAGAATTATAAATTGTAATGAATTTTTTTTTTTTTTCAACAAGTTGGCCGTCTCCCACCGAGGCAGGGTGACCCAAAAAGAAAGAAAATCCCCAAAAAGAAAATGCTTTCATCATCATGCAACACTTTCACCTCACACATAATCAGTCTTAACAGAGGTGCCCAGATACAATAGTTTAGAAGCATATACTGTATAACACCCCTCCAAACTACCAATATCCCAAACCCCTCCTTTAAAGTGCAGGCATTATACTTTCCATTTCCAGTACTCGGGGTCCAGTTATTTTCATATAGTCGGACTTGAGTCCTGGAAATGGGAAGTACAATGCCTGCACTTTAAAGGAGGGGTTTGGGATATTGGCAGTTTGGAGGGATATGTTGTGTATCTTTATACGTATATGCTTCTAAGCTGTTGTATTCTGAGCACAAACCATAGCCCCGGCCGGGATTGAACCCGCGGTCATAGAGTCTCAAAACTCCAGCCCGTCGCGTTAGCCACGGGCTGGAGTCATGTTATTCTGAGCACCTCTGCAAAAGCAGTGATAATGTGTGAGTGTGGTGAAAGTGTTGAATGATGATGAAAGTATTTTCTTTTTGGGGATTTTCTTTCTTTTTTTGGGGTCACCCTGCCTCGGTGGGAGACGACCAACTTGTTGAAAAAAAAAAGGTCCAGCTATATAAAAATAACCGATTTCCCTGAATCCCTTCACTAAATATTACCCTGCTCACACTCCAACAGCTCGTCAGGTCCCAAAAACCATTTGTCTCCATTCACTCCTATCTAACACACTCACACATGCTTACTGGAAGTCCAAGCTCCTCACCCACAAAACCTCCTTTACCCCTTCCCTCCAACCTTTTCAAGGATGACCCCTACCCCTCCATCCTTCCCCTACAGATTTATGCACTCTCCAAGTCATTCTGCTTTTATCCATTCTCTCTAAATGACCAAACCACCTCAACAACCCCTCTTCAGCCCTCTACTAATACTTTTAGTAACTCCACACCTCCTCCTAATTTCCCCACTCTGAATTCTCTGCATAATGTTTACACCATACATTGCCCTTAAGACATCTGCACTGCCTCCAACCGTCTCCTCACTGCAGCATTTGCAACCCAAGCTTCACACCCATATAAGAGTGTTGGTGCCACTATACTGTCGTACATTCCCTTCTTTTCCTCCATGGATAACGTTTTTTGTCTCCATAGATACCTCAATGCACCACTCACCTTTTTTCCTTCACCAGTTCTATGGTTAACCTCATCCTTCATAAACCCATCCACTGACAAATCAACTCCCAAATATCTGAAAACATTCACGTCTTCCATACTCCCTCTCTCCAATGTGATATCCAATTTTTCTCTATCTAAATCATTTGATACCCTCATCACCTTACTCTTATCTATGTTCACTTTCAACTTTCTACCTTTACATACCCTCCCAAACTCGTCCACTAACTGTTGCAAATTTTCTTTAGAATCTCCCATAAGCACAGTATCATCAGCAAAAAGTAACTGTGTCACTTCCTATTTTGTGTTTGATTCCCCATAATTGAATCCCACCCCTTTCCCAAACACCCTAGCATTTACTTCTTTTACAACCCCATCTAACCATGGTGACATTACACATCCCTGTCTAAGAACTACTTTTATGGGAAGTAATCTCCCTCTCTCCTACACACCCTAACCTGAGCCTCACTATCCTCATAAAATCTCTTTACAGCATTTTGTAGCTTACTACCTATTCCACATACTTGCAACATCTGTCACATTGCTTCTCTATCCACTCTATCATATGCCTATTCTGAATCCATAAATAAAATGAAAACTTCCCTACCTTTATCTAAGTACTGTTGACACATATGCTTCAATGTAAACACTTGATCTACACATCCCCTACCCACTCTAAAGCCTCCTTGCTCATCTGCAGTCCTACTCTGTCTTACCTCTAATTCTTTCAGTAATAACCTTCCATAGACTTTTCCTGGTATACTCAGTAAACTTCTTCTTTCTTTCAACACACGGCCATATCCCACCAAGGCAGGGTGGCCCAAAAAGAAAAACGAAAGCTTCTCTTTTAAATTTAGTAATTTATACGGAAGGGGTTACTAGCCCCTTGCTCCCGGCATTTTAGTCGCCTCTTACAACACGCATGGCTTACGAAGGAAGAATTCTGTTCCACTTCCCCATGGAGATAAGAGGAAATAAACAAGAAGAAGAACTAGAAAGAAAATAGAAGAATACCCAGAGGGGTGTGTATATATATGCTTGTACATGTATGTGTAGTGTGACCTAAGTGCAAGTAGAAGTAGCAAGACATACCTGAAATCTTGCATGTTTATGAGACAGACAAAAGACACCAGCAATGCTACCATCATGTAAAACAATTACAGGTTTTCGTTGTACACTCACTTGGCAGGACAGTAGTACCTCCCTGGGCGGTTGCTATTTACCAACCTCCTACCTAGCTTTCATACATTTATTAAACAAAAATACCAACCACTCTAACACTATATCCCCCCCTGCTTTTAACATTTGTCATGGTCCCGTCAGTTCCAGCTGCTTTACCCCCTTTCATTGTACATAATGCCTCACACACCTCCCCCACACTCACATCCTGGTCTTCTTCACTCCTAAAAGATGTTATACAGTGGACCCCCGCATAACGATCACCTCCGAATGCGACCAATTATGTAAGTGTATTTATGTAAGTGCGTTTGTACGTGTATGTTTGGGGGTCTGAAATGGACTAATCTACTTCACAATATTTCTTATGGGAACAAATTCGGTCAGTACTGGCACCTGAACATACTTCTGGAGTGAAAAAAAATCGTTAACCGGGGGTCCACTGTACCTCCCTGGCCAGTGCATGAAATTACCGCTTCCCTTTCTTCGTCGACATTTAACCCTTTCAGGGTCCATGCTGTAGATCTACGGCTTTACGTTCAGGGTCCAAACCATAGATCTAAGCCATGAGCTCAAGGTACTCTTCATTGTAAAACCAGTCAAAATCATCTCTGTTTCTGTAGTATGTCTTCCATTCTATAAAATGAGATCAAGAAAACTAGAATATAACAATAAATACCATGCGAAAATACAGTGCAAAGTCGCTGTTTTATTCCAAAAAAATGGTCAAAGTTTTTTTTTTTCTCATTATGCACTGTGTGCTGCAGGATTTTTTTTATACTGCGTACACTGACCACATAGACCCATTCTTTCATATGTAGGCCTACCAGCTTTCTCCCACTAGATTTGAGGGTGCTAGAATTTAGGCGTACTAGTACGTCAAAAACCCTGGGTCGTAAGCCATACTAGTACGGCCGAAACCCTCAAAGGGTTAAATTCTTGGACCCTGGTGCGCGCTTTGAAATTTGGCCTCTGGACCCTGAAAGGGTTAAAAGTTCCTCAAAATATTCCCGCCATCTACCCAATACCTCCATCTCCCCATCTATTAACTCCCCTACTCTGTTTTTAACTGACAAATCCATTCGTTCCCTAGGCTTTCTTGTTTATCTCCAAAATTTTTTCTTCTTTTAATTAAAATTTCTTGACACTGCCTCTCCCACTCTATCATCTGCTCTCCTTTTGCACTCTCTTCACCTTTCTTTTGTCAGCATAGTTGCTGATCCCCTACATGTGTTGTATAGCTTACCTGAGTATCATAATTAGTACCATCCATACATTTTACATACACGACCCCTTTGCTAGGCCTAGTGACTAGTTTGTATGACGTCACGTGATGCGGTATGAGTGCGTGGGACGCACTACCTCAGCCTCAGTTCCCGCATAGTTCTACGCCAGGCAAGACAGGCAGTTTGGGCTCTTCCCCTTCATACTCTGCTAATATATGTGTTACCATCCAACAAGTGTGTTTAAGTCAAACCATCATATCTCCTACGAACCTCCCATGACAAATGGTGGCAGCGATGGGATGGATTGATCCAGTGGAGTGGATGAGGTCTTCCTAGACGACATACGTAACATGACTGAGCTGTCAGCATAGTTGCTGATCCCCTACATGTGTTGTATAGCTTATCTGAGTATCATAGTTAGTACCATCCATATGTTTTACATACACGGCCCCTTTGCTAGGCCTAGTGACTAGTTTGTATGACGTCACGTGATGCGGCATGAGTGCGTGGGACGCGCTACCTCGGCCTCAGTTCCCGCATAGTTCTACGCCAGGCAAGACAGGCAGTTTGGGCTCTTCCCCTTCATACTCTGCTAATATATGTGTTACCATCCAACAAGTGTGTTTAACTCCAACCATCATATCCATATACTATGCTCTTCTTATAACGCTTCTGTTTTGTAAAAACCTCTCATAAGCTACCTCTTTCTCTTTTATCACACCCTTTACTTCATCATTCCACCAATCACTCCTCTTTCCTCCTGCACCCACCCTCCTATAGCCACAAACTTCTTCTCCACATTCTAATACTGCATTTTTAAAAATATTCCAACCCTCTTCAACCCCCCCCCCTCCCCTCACCTTTCTACCAATAGTTGCTTATATCTCACCCTGACCTTCTCCTCCCTTAGTTTATACACTTCCACCTCTCTCTTACTTGCTGTTGCCATTTTCCTTTTGTCCCATCTACCTCTTACTCTAACTGTAGCTACAACTAAATAATGATCATATACATCAGTTGCCCCTCTATAAACATGTACATCCTGAGGCCTACCCATCAACCTTTTATCCACCAATCCATAATCTAACAAACTACTTTCATTATGTGCTATATCATACTTTGTATACTTATTTATCCTCTTTTTCATAAAATATGTATTACTTATTACCAAACCTCTTTCTACACATAGCTCAATTAAAGGCTCTCCATTTTCATTTTCCCCTGGCACCCCAAATTTACCTACTACTCTCTCCACAACATTTTTACCCACTTCAGCATTGAGATCCCCAATAATGAATATACAGAAATAATAATAATATAAATGCTCTCCTGACATAATTAAACAGTTTTTAACCTACTGATTATTTATGGAATGTATTCCATCTTATCTGTCACTTCTGGGAGAAAATTTAATTGACATTAATTGTGAATAATAAATTTTGAAATCATATGAACCAAGAATATTTATAATATATACATATTGGGATATTTGCTTTTTGGAGTGACATCTGACTCATAGTTATAATTAGTTGTAAGTAATAATATGTTTTCTGATTGATATTCATAAGTTTTTTAACTTTCTATGGAATCTATTGCAACGTATTTTGTTGAAAAAATGTTTACTGATAGCTCTGTGGCTCATTTTGGGCAATGTAATTTCCAATTATGCCCTCTTGTTTTTATTGCATCATGGTAAAGAGCCTATCATTGCCTATCCTGTCAGTGGTCCATAGTATTTTGTATGTCATGACCATGTCCCTTCTTTTTCTTTGCTCTTTCAGTGACATCACACCTAATTCTTGCATTTTTTCATCATATTTCATATCCCTCAGTAAACTCCAGTCTGGAGTTTGTCATGTTAACTTTGTACCTAACTGTTCTTCTGTTATGATTTCAAGTCATTGTGAAATAAAGAAAGAATGTATTTTACAAAATTATCGCACCATAATAAAAGTTTGACTAAAATATCACCCAGTAGCACATTTGAAATATTAAGCTGAATCAGGTTGAAACCTTGCTAAACACTGTATTCTTTTAGACTTTGCTTAATGCACATTCATCTACATACTCTTCCGTGTATCATTACTTTTGAAAGAAGGCTTTGATGTAGAGCTTTATAAATCTTTATATATCGTTTTATACCATTCTAACCCCTTCTCCTGTATATGTTACTAAATGTAAAAGGAGAAACTTTAATTTTTTCTTTTGGGCCGCCCCGCCTTGGTGGGATATGGCCGGTGCATTGAAAGAAGAAAGAAGTTATACCATTCTGCCTTGGTTTCATTGTACAGTGTATATGAGGTGTTGCGTGGCAGAAAAGAATAAATGTTAACACACCCAACATCCAGGTTGGTGAATGTGTTGATTCCTTAATATTTCATCTGTTTGTGGAATGTATAGATGTTGTCTTCTGTGTCTGTAACTTAAGCTCAAAGCCCCAAAGCAAAGTATGGTAACTTGAGCTACTTAGCTCCAGTCTTCCTACATTTTTCTTCAGTGTTTGAATTTGGCGCTTATTCTTTTCTGCCACACAGTGCCTCATATGTTCTAAAATATAAAAATAAAATCAAGAAGACTTATTAACTCTTTCACTGTCGGTTACATAAATCTACATCATTGAGGCCAGTGTCACTTATGCCACTTTATATGTTGCAGTGTCCTCAAATTTGCCGTGATTGGTAAATATTGGTGTAAGCATGAGAGAATTGGTATATTTGACGGGTGTAAAGAGTATAAAATCATGACCCATTCAGTGTATAATTGGGACAGCTAGCCTCTTACCTTGTGTTTGGGTTAAAATATCAACTTGAAGACATATTCCTGGCATTTTTTTAATAGTTTTATTGGCTTTCTTGAGGCCAGTTGATAGACTGGAAGACATACTAGTGAAATGGAAAAGATTTCCAAGATTTTATGTAAGACTTCTTGTGTAGTTAACTATAAGCAGAATGTTTTCTGGATTTTTTAGGCTTTCTTTAATATTGGGACAGCTTAAACCATGACCAAGTACAGTGGAACCTCAAATATCGAACTTTCTTCGGTCCAGAAGTCTGTTCGACTGCCTTTACCGAATGAATTTATTCCCATCAGGAATAATGTAAATTAGATTAGTCCATTTCAGACCCTTAAAAATACACTTATAAAAGCACTTACAAAAATACACTTACATAATTGGTTGTGTTGGGAGCAGTTCGATTTTCGAGGTTCCACTGTACGTGTATTTTTTAATATATTTTATTATCCAAAACATATGGAACACTTCGATTTTTTGTGTGGCAACAGACTCAAAATGGAAGGCAAGTGTTATATAGAAGAAGCTTAGAGATGTGATTAATGTACTGAGGAAGAGTTGCTATAGTGGCTAGAATGCCTTCATTGTTAGTTTTAAACTATGTTTTTAAACTGGAATTTGTTGAATTTTGTGTAAAATTGGTTAAATTGCTGATCTCTGGATGCTTTATGGAGTAGTTCTGATGAGTGAATAGGTAGTTCTTTGCACTCAGTAGTATGGATATAGCAAAATAACCAGGAATTGAGTCAATTTGAGCACTGGAATTGGCCCAAAATAGACCTCAAAATGGGCAAAATTGCAGTTGCATAAAGTGTTCCCCAACCTTCATCTTTGGACCTGTGTAATTCTGCAAGTTTTTCATGAAATTTTGCAATTTTGGTATCAGCCTTTAGTAAAAGATTCTCTACCTTATTAGAAGAAATATTTTTTTAACTGCAACACTGATGGTACGTATAATTTTGAGGGCTACGACAGTGAAAGAGTTAAACATGAGCGATATCTACACAAGTCATGTTGAGTCCTTTTAATTAACTGATGACCTAAATATTGTGCTATTTGGTCTTCATGGTTATTTCATGATCAGTAGGTACTAGGACAAACCTTTGTTATCCTTATTAAAGATTTGCGAGCGTCTGTTCTTGATTAATTTAAATTCTGTCACCATTTGATCTCATTTTGATCTGATATAAAATGAATAGAATGGGATATACTCTATTATTAATGACAGGAAGCCTGTTGCTTGTCAGTGTTTCCCTACCCAAGGCAGTGTTTATGTGGTGATCCCACCCAGTTATTGGATAGACCTAACAGTGCTTAACCTGACTGAAAAATAACATTTGTTTTATCCATTGAGCAAATGCAGTGGCTGGAAGACATTAATATGGTCATATAAATATCACTTACTTCAGTGGGAAACTGCCAGTGTGTTTAAGAAAATTAATAATCCTAGATTAAATAAAATGACAGACATGAAGAGCTTTGATTTTTCTTTTGTGAATGCACATCACTAGGTACACTTTTGTAATATAGTTTTATTACATTGTATTTTTTTTTTTTTTTTTTTTCCAACAAGTCGGCTGTCTCCCACCGAGGCAGGGTGACCCAAAAAAGAAAGAAAATCCCCCAAAAAGAAAATACTTTCATCATCATTCAACACTTTCACCACACTCACACATTATCACTGCTTTTGCAGAGATGCTCAGAATACAACAGTTTAGAAGCATATACGTATAAAGATACACAACATATCCCTCCAAACTGCCAATATCCCAAACCCCTCCTTTAAAGTGCAGGCATTGTACTTCCCATTTCCAGGACTCAAGTCCGACTATATGAAAATAACCGGTTTCCCTGAATCCCTTCACTAAATATTACCCTGCTCACACTCCAACAGATCGTCAGGTCCCAAGTATCATTCGTCTCCATTCACTCCTATCTAACACGCTCATGCACGCTTGCTGGAAGTCCAAGCCCCTCGCCCACAAAACCTCCTTTACCCCCTCTTTTCAACCCTTTCGAGGACGACCCCTACCCCTCCTTCCTTCCCCTATAGATTTATATGCTTTCCATGTCATTCTACTTTGATCCATTCTCTCTAAATGACCAAATCACCTCAACAACCCCTCTTCTGCCCTCTGACTAATACTTTTATTAACTCCACACCTTCTCCTAATTTCCACACTCCGAGTTTTCTGCATAATATTTACACCACACATTGCCCTTAGACAGGACATCTCCACTGCCTCCAACCGTCTCCTCGCTGCTGCATTTACCACCCAAGCTTCACATCCATATAAGAGTGTTGGTACTACTATACTTTCATACATTCCCTTCTTTGCCTCCATAGATAACGTTTTTTGACTCCACATATACCTCAACGCACCACTCACCTTTTTTCCCTCATCAATTCATTCCATTTCTTTATTACTATTTTGCTGAAAAATGTTTTCTGATATATAGCTCTTTTCATTGTGCCATGTATTATAGTATTATTGCCTTACATTATGGAGGAAAGCATAACAATGGCTCTCGGCAGGTACACCAATGAAGCACGTGTCACCTTCCTGAAAGCTGATAAGAGGGATCCTGAATGGGCTTTCTATGACATCACTCGTGCCACCATGGCTGCCTATGCTGTCAAACCTGCTGCTTTTGATTTTCTTCTTACAATGGCTATCCTAGCATACTTAGGTGTTATTTATGTGTTCCTTCAGGTAAGTTTAATTCTTAATAGAGGAAAAATTACTGTAAAGAAATCCAGAGGTCGTAATGTGATGTGTAATTGCCTGATTATTATCTCTGGATAACAATTAATGTCTATTGCAGGCTTATTCATTAGGTTAGGTTCCAGGCTACTGCTGTAAAGCAAAAGTGAAACATAGCCTTTTTTTGTTTTCAAATGCATATAAAAGCCTGATAACATGTTTACACTATCATATATTAACCCTTTCAGGGTCAAGAGGCCCTCTCCTAAACTCGTTCTCAGGGTCGAAAATTTTTTGGGAAAAAAAAAAATTCTTTTTTCTTATGAAATGATAGAGAATCTTTTCCCGATCATAATGACACCAAAAGTATGAAATTTGATGGAAAACTTAAGGAATTATGCTCTTGTGAAGTTAGCGGTCTTGACGATGTTTATGCATCGGCGATTTCGCCCACTTTTAGCCCTATTTTCGGCCAATTCCAGTGTACTAATCAACAAAAATCATATCTATTTCGCTAGAACTACATTTTTTCTATTAAATGAGTACAAGAAACCACCCATTTACCGATTCCAACAATCCATTAAAGCGGTCAGAAATTGGCAATTTTTGCCAATTTCACACAAAATTCAGATGTCAATTTCCAAATAGGGTCCAGAATAAACAAGACAGACATTCCTAGCACTAAAATAACATTTTCTCTGTTCATTAGTCAAGCCCCCAGACCTCTCTTACATCTCTTTTGCTTTCCACTTTGAATTTTTATTCTCACAAAAAATAGAAGATTTACTGTTATGCAGACTACTACATTGGTGTAGAAATGGTATAAATAATATCAGCGCACTTGTGAAAGAATATTAGACTCACCAATTGACATGTATTGGACGCTTGGCATGATCTGTTTACTTTTGAACTTTGGTAAAAATCGAACATTTCTGCTACTTTGAGCTCGATTTCAAGGTACTTTTCTTTATGAAACCAATCCAAATCATCTCAATTTCTGTAGTATGTCTTCCATTCTATAAAATGAGACCAGGGAAAACTAAAATACAACCATAAATACCATACGAAAATGCACTGCAAAGTCACTGTTTTAAACCAAAAACATGGTCGGAGTTTTTTTTTCTCGTGCACTGTGTGCTGCAGCATTTTTTTTATACTGTGCACACTGACCACCTAGACCCATTCTTTCATATGTAGGCCTACCAGCTTTCTCCCACTAGATTTGAAGGCACTAGAATTTAGGCGTACTAGTACGTCAATGTCCCTGGTGCGTAAGCCGTACTAGTACGTCGGAAACCCTGAAAGGGTTAAGTGAGCAGTAGAACTAGGACTAAAAAATGCATATACAGTACATACATTACTTACCCTAAAATATTTTCATCCTTAGTTTATAGTAAGTGGTGAACATATTTATTGTAGGAAGTCTAAATAAATGAAGAATGGGTATAATAAAAAAACTGCTGCATTAACGAAATGCTCTAAAGCAGGGCCCTTCTGTATTCAGAATTTGTGGTGAGTGTGGTGAAAGTGTTGAATGATGATGAAAGTATTTTCTTTTTGGGGATTTTCTTTCTTTTTTGGGTCACCCTGCCTCGGTGGGAGACGGCCGACATGTTGAAAAAAAAAAAAAAAAATACCTAGTATTAATTATAGTTGTACCAATGATCCATACCCTGATGTGGTTTGCACTGGCTTCCCTTTGTAACATAAGTTTGGTATGCATATCCTTTTTTCTTGTTTTTTTCATTACTGTCCATTAATTCGCAGTAATGCAAAAAGAGATGGTTTTTGTTATATTTTGCTTACAGCTTAATTAGTAATAAGCATGTATGGTATTACAGTCCCCATCCCTTTATCCGAAACCCTTGGTGCCAGCAGTGTTTCGAATTTCAAAATTTTTTGAATTTCAGAATGAAGGTGGGGTTTAGGCCAACAGGCCTACTGCAGTGTTTCTCCTTTCATATGTTATGTACCCATGACACCAATCATACCCAGCCCTCCCACTCATATATTTGTCCAATCTCTTTTTAAAGCTACCCAAGGTCTTTCTTTCTTTCTTTCAACACACCGGCCGTATCCCACCAAGGCGGGGTGGCCCAAAAGGAAAAACGAAAGTTTCTCCTTTTTTTTTTTTTTTTTTTTTTTAACAAACCGGCCGTATCCTACCAAGGCAGGGTGGGCCCAAAAAGAAAAACGAAAGTTTCTCTTTTTAAATTTAGTAATTTATACAGGAGAAGGGGTTACTAGCCCCTTGCTCCCGGCATTTTAGTCGCCTCTTACAACACGCATGGCTTACGGAGGAAGAATTCTGTTCCACTTTCCCATGGAGATAAGAGGAAATAAACAAGAACTAGAAAGAAAATAGAAGAAAACCCAGAGGGGTGTGTATATATATGCGTGTACATATATGTGTAGTGTGACCTTATTGTAAGTAGAAGTAGCAAGACGTACCGGAAATCTTGCATGTGTATGAGACAGAAAAAAAAGACACCAGCAATCCTACCATCATGTAAAACAATTATAGGCTTCCGTTTTACACTCACTTGGCAGGACGATAGTACCTCCCTGGGCGGTTGCTGTCTACCAACCTGCTACCTAGGACCCAAGGTACTATCAAAGCTAAAACCTTGGATAGTTTCAAATTTAGATTGGATAAATACGTGAGTGAGAAGGGTTGGATTTGAGGGGGACTTGCACATGAGTAAATAGAATTATCAAAGCTTATTACTTGGGTAGCATTGAAAATTGAGTTGGGCAAATATTCTGTTAGTGGGATGCATTGTGAAGGACCTGCCTAGTATGGGCCAACAGGCCTGCTGCAGTGTTCCTCCTTTCTTATGTTCTTATGACACAACTGGCGGCGTTGGAGTTATGTAGAGATGACAGATGTTCCACACTCCACGAAAAAACTTCGGTTTTCAGAACTTTTCGAATTTCAGAATTTTGGATAAAGGGATGGGGACTGTAATGGGAAGATTTGTTATAACTTACTCCATTGTGTTTTGTATGTTACAGGAAATACAATTTAGCTAATTATAATTAGCAAACCTTGAATCATTGTGAAGTTACCACTGTCAGTGAATATAAAGTAACTTGTTTTATATCTATGCACTTTCTTTATAGATGGTGAATATTAATGCTTTTTTTTTTTCTTTCAGTACTTTCCCAAGCTGTATGCAATGATGGTCAGACTTGCCTCGCCTCAGAAATCCAAGACACACTAGTCTCTTATGGATTCTGAAAAAAGTGCAGTACATTGTATGTCTATTATAATGTTCAGACAGCTTGAATCTGCCTTGAAAATGCAATCAGTATTTTGTACAATATGCTTTTACCTACTGATACCAAGACAGTTAATTAGCATAATTTCATATTTATGCATATTGCTAACTGGAATGCATGTGTGGCTGTAAGAGAGTACAATATTTTCACTTGTTGAAGTCAGACTGCCGGTGCATCTAACTGGACACTGACCTCAAATCTCCTTTTGTTCTCAACATGTTCTTGTGAGCATTACAACTATCTATAATTATAATAACTGAGAGACTACTAAGCATACAAAATACTCAAGTGAATCCCCATTTAAGCTTCATGTTTTCCGAGAAAATGGTAGTTGTGTACTGAGCAGTGTTCTTCATTTATACAACACTTGATAATGTAAGAACTATGGAGGGATATAAGTTATTTGGTACTCTGTAGCATTTAAAGTAGTGGGCTGAATTGTCTTCTCTAGGAAATCCTAACTCCTTATAGGAAACAGATTAATTGAGAACCTTTCAGCAAATTTGTGAACTTAATTATAGAAAGTACTTTGATTTTTGCATCCACATATTAGCATACAGTAGGTTCCTGACTTGCGATATTCCAACTGATGATGTGCCACACTTGAGGTATTGACACTTTGGAACCAATTCATTACATACTTATGAACACTGATCTTCAGTTACGATCATTGCAATTATTCAAACACTAATTATTTTACATAGATAATTTTTCTCATTTTTTTTTTTACCAAATACATTGGTATTGAATATGTTCTTTTTTTGTGCATGTGTGTAGAGTGTTCGTGAGTTTTTTGTAGAGCAGTATAGATTAAATAATTACTTTGTTCTGTTGGTCTGTGGTAGCTGCTGCTAGCTGTTGCCCATGTACTGGGCATGTCCAGTGGGTATGGAGTAAAACAGTGGGAGCTCATGCCACACCCTCTCACAGTTAACCTCACCACTACCTTCCCATAATTTCCTGGCACATAATACCCTTGCCATAACAGTGAGGGAGTGGTAAGTATACATAAAGAGTCTTGGGTTATGATGCATGACAGGGTGTGAGTGAATAGGAGAGAGAGAGAGAGGGGGAGGGAGGCAGTCCAGCTGCTTCCTTCCCTTATATATCTGTCACTCCATTCTTCCTACACAACACACTTACAGTAACAAGTAAATATTGAGCATATGTAAGCAAGGTTGTGTTAGATATGATGCAAGAGAGGGCGGGAATAAATAAGAGTGAGAATGAGAAAGACAGGATGACAGTTCAGCTGCTGCCTACCCTTATACATATGTGCTGTATTGTATACATGCTGTGTTGTAACTTCTGCTGAAATCTTTCACTGTCATGATTTTTCAGAAAAAAATAATAATTCTATCTTCTAAAATGGTAGAGAATCTTTTTCTGAAGGTAATGACACTTACAATATAAAATTTGATGGAAAACTTATGGAATTACACAGGTGCAAAGTTCTTGATGCCTGTTTAAGGCTGATTACATTGCTTAAATTCACCAAATTCCTAGTAATTTTGCTAGTATGCTTTCTGTTCTAACAATTGAGCATATGAGGTTGCCCATTCAACTATCAGAACTGTGATAAAGCATGATAAGTTGATAATTTAGCCAATTTTACACAAAATTCAACAAACTGCAGTTTTAAAATAGTCCAAAATAAACACTGCAGGCATTCCAACCACTAAAGCAACCTTTCCTCTGTTCATTAGTCACATACTTAGGCCTCATGAATCATCACAATAAATGTATATAAATTTTACCCTATTTCTCAGCTACTAAGCAGTGCTGTATGGCCCTTGTGGCTTAGCACTTCTTTTTTTATTATAATAATAATAATCTCAGCTACTAAAATATACCCAAGAATGATTTAGGCCTAGTAAAAAGCTCAGTAAGACAGATGGGGGGTGGGAGGGTTGTGAGGTACCAACCCTTTCTCAGGAAAATCGAATATTTCAAACCACTTTGAGGCCTATTTAAAGCCACTTCTGGTCTGAAACTGACCAAAGTAATCTCCATTTCACTAGTATGTCTTCCAGTCTATCAACTGATACCAAGAAATAGCCAAGAAAACCATGAAAAACCACTAAAACATGCCTCAAAGTTGTTATTTTAAACCAAACACAAGGTCAGAGGTAATTTCTTCCCATCATTCACTTTGTGGAGCAGAATTCTTTTTATACTGTGCACACCCACCAAACCTATTCTCTCTTGTCTAGGCCAAAATTTACCCATCAAAAAACAATAGAGGGCATTTTAATTATAATGTAGCTCTATGTGAGAGACTGAAAGGGTTAATTAACATGTACAGTATGCATCAGCTAAACAATGTTTAATACTATTGGTAAGGGAAGAGGAACAGTGCAGAATGTATATTGGATTGATTTCTTTTAGTTAAAAAACATATGAAATTATATGCAGAATATTATGTATGGGAATATACCTCCAATTATAGCATGGATATCTAAGGGGACACTGTGTTCCAAACTCTTAGCAATTGACTTCCAAAAACCAAAAAAATTTCAGGAGGACCTACTGTAATGCTAGGGAGGCAACATCTTCCATGAATTAGAATAATGTTTATGGTATAAAATACCTTAGAATAATTATTCTTATAGCGTGAGGGTTTAAAAGTCAGACTGATTTTGACAGTGTAAAATTACTATTACTTAGGTATTGCAAGTTTTTTAAACAAAACCTAAAAGTGCTTCTTAAAATCTTGCCAGGACTTTCTTACATTTTAGGTGGTTGCCACTGAAGGATTTTTCCCAAGCCTATGCACTGTAAATGTTTTTGTGAATTTGAAGGACTTTGTAAGTGTTAATAGAGACTGAATGTGTGTAAATTCTTGATCAACCTCTTATGGGTTACAGTAGAAATATTTTCAGTGCTACGAAGGTAAATTAAAACAAATGTATTACAAGAAGAATGGGAAACATATATGACTTTATGATGAAAATTAAATTTTATTTTAAATTGTATTATATTTTTTCTTTCATAAGTATTTTCTGAAGTCCATAAACACACTGGAGGTGCACTATTGTACAGTATTCTCAGTTTGAAGATGTGCTCATAGTCACCAACAGTGCATGACTGTAAATGGTCACTTCCATGCAAAAGGCATCAATTAATGACCTTCATTTGCCCAGTAAAATGGAACTTTATATTGTCAGAAACTGCTTAAAAAACTAATAAATAAATTTTGTTTGTCATTAAATGCAGCTTATTAACTTTGTATAGGAATGATGATACTTAAATTGATAACAAAAATTTTTGAAGCCAAATTTTGTTTTGAGACAAGGTATATAAACTTTCAGTTTGCATTTATGAAATCATCATTTGCATATTTTATTTATAAAGCAAGTGCCATGGTTTTGATTGTGAAAAATATTTTTTTTTAAAGAAATGATAAGTAAAAACAAAGAAAACTGACAAGAAGAAGAAGAAGCCAATACCACATGCCCTTGACTAGCTTGTTCTTTGCTCTTCCATCTTTCATAGGCACGATATACAGGTACTTAAGTGTCACTAAATGCTGCAGGGATTGTCCACTGGAAATTCAAAACCAGTATATTGACTGCATTAGCAGAATGCATAGGTATATTATTACATTTTGTGTTTTTTTTTTTTTTTAATTCTAAATAGTGAATGCAACCAAAATCTGAATTTCGTAAATATAAAATTAGTAAATCATGGAGCACTCTAGGACAATATCTGATATTTTTGGAACTTAACACCCTACCATTTAACCATTTCTTCATGAGAGGTCTAATAGGATGATATTTGCATCGAGCACTTACTACTTGCATGGACCACAGTTCAAGGCTCTACCGTTTTCTGTTTATTCATTGACAGTTGTTCATTATAGCTTACCTTGGGTTTATAGACTATAAGGCTTTGAGGGGTATGAGAATACATGTGCCATGAAACTGTGGGGGTGTGAGATGAGATAGTAGTACCACAGTTGGTGGTGGATGATACAACTTTGTCACAAGTGCTGGCTGTAAAATTATTCTATTTGAACCCTTGTGACTGAATGGTTGCAGTGCTGGGCCTGCTACTTGCATGGACCATGTGAATGATATATACATACTTTTTGGGGGTGCCCCTACTGCCGTTATTATTAGATAATTAATTTTCTGTCATGAGGCCTGCAGAAATCATATACTGACTTCTTTAGACTAGTTCAAGAGGTCAGTCATTTAATTTTTGAGCTAAGAAATAAAACTTTAAGAAATTCTTGTACTCTGCTGATTCCAGACACAGTATGTCTACTTGATATATTGTGGTTATTATCTATCTCTGAAATCCCAAAGAATAATTATTGTCCTGTGACAGTAAAATAACTTATCATAATTATGACCTATAGGTCAAAGTGCTAAAATTTACAGAGGTGAATTCAGAGCATTGGATAACCATGAACACCAGATTTGAATATATTTGGTAATGGTAGGGTGTTAGGCATTGGGTGACTTGCCTTTGAACTTCCCTTGCCCTTAAAGGTAAACTACATGATTGAGTGGTAATTATTTATTACCCTGAGGTTAGTAGCAGCAAAAACAATTGTGGACGGGGTTGCAAAACCCTTCCATAATATGCAAGACTTCACCTATTCGGTTATCATATACATAATATATTGGTTTTAGCTCATCTTGAATGAAGGTTATATATACTGTATTTTTCAGTGAGTGCGCTCAAGTAATGAATAAGACACTTGTGCAACATTTGGGTATCTTTATTCTGGAAATGTATTGTCACACACTGGCTTCTTCAGTCAAGTGCAGAGAAAGGTGGAAAATAAGGAGTTTCAGGTAATCAGTCCCTCAGATGTGTTCAGTCCATCACTCTTGAGAAAAGTCAAGATTGATGGACTGAACATATCAACTCCAGGTTGAGGGACTGATTAACTGAAACTTCTCGTCTTCCACCTTTCTCTGCATTGAACTGAAGAAGTCACTGCGTGGCAAGACGTTTGGAAAGTATAGATACCCATGTGTTGCACAAGTGTCTCGTTTATCAACTTGTCAGTTTTGTAAACCATTTATTGGCACTCAAGTAATGTTTGATACTATTCCATTGTCATGTAAAGAAAAGTATATTTGCCAAATGGTTACTAGAGTATAAATTTGAAATGAATTTTATGCATCTCTCAAGGTGTATAATAACCTATTTGCTAAGATGTACTAAAAAATCAAAAGCTTCCCAACTTCGTATTTTTTTATCTTGTGAAGCAGCACATACATACATACCTATATACACACATACATATACACCCCCCTACATATGCACACATACATACATATACACCCCCTACATATGCACACATACATATACACACATACATTCATACATGCACATGGTATATACATATACGTACGTATACACAATGTTCTATTCTATGCATGATGGACCACTCAGAATCTTCTAATTCAGCTTTAGTCTTCAGGAGGATAAAGTACAAATTGATGTGCTTAGTCAAATGCACAAGGCTCGAAAAAGAACAATTAGTTTTTGATTTTAATGTTTGGAGGCCTTACTTTTTTTTTAGATGTTTTCTTTCCTCTATGATGAAACTCATACACATTTTATTAAAATGCCAATTACTGTATATACAGAGTGCAAAATTTTGTCCTAACTTACTAACAAAACATCTTCAAGATATTATCGTGTGTTTTACATTATGACACTGACTCTTAAGACATTAAGAACATTACAAAACAAAGAGATCATCTCGTGATATTTCCAAACAGCTATCAGCGGTGGTTTTTTTGGGGGCTGTGAGCATTGCCTTTTGTATTTTATTTTTGTGTCTAGCAGGAAATAATATTGCTGTAACAATTTTTCTAGTTGCTATGCTTACTATGATGTGATCACCTGTATTCTTATACAGTAGAATAATCAGTATATTTCTAAGTATTGATACTTCCCTAAGACTCCATTTTGTCTTGTAAATACTATTACTTTAAGCAATAAAGATTATTTGCATATAATAAAATGAGAGATGGTTTTTGCCAGAGGCTTTGTTATGTTTGTAAAATTTACTCTCGATTTCTTTTAATAAAAAATATCCATGAGAATTTATTTATTAATGTTGTTTCAAATACTATATCCTGTGTAATTATAGTGGGACTCCAAATACAGTGGAACCTCAGTTTTTTAATTAATTCATTCCAGATGTCGACTCGACAACCAAAATCAGTGACAATCAAAGTGGCTTTTTCCACAAAGAATAATGTAAATAGAATTAATCTGTTCCAGATACCTTTTTTTTTTTCTCCCACTGAGGCAGGGTGACCCAAAAAGAAAGAAAATTCCCAAAAAGAAAATACTTTCATCATTAAACACTTTCACCTCACTCATACATAATCATTGTTTTTGCAGAGGTGCTCAGAATACAACAGTTTTAGAAGCATATAATATGTAGCATAAAGATTTAAACATATCCTCCAAACTCCAATATCCCAAATCCCTCCTATAAAGTGCACGGCATTGTATTCCCATTTCCAGGACTCAAGTATGCTATATAAAAATAACGGTTTCCCTGAATCCCTTCAACTAAATTATTACCCTGCTCCCACTGCAACAGGTGCTCAGGTCACAAATGCATTTGTCATACATTCACACTCCGTCCCCTCAAGAAGTTCTTGATTGTTGGAGAGGGCTCTTGATTTAGGAAATTGGATCTGTGCTACATGTCCACGAATTAAGCCTGAAATGCCTTCCCACCCCCAGGTGCTGTATAATCCTCCGGGTTTAGCACTTCCCCTTGATTATAATAATAATAATACATTCACTCCTATCTGACACGCTCACGCACGCTTGCTGGAAGTCCAAGCCCCTCGCCCACAAAACCTTTATAATGTGCTAAGTACTACATAAAAAAATTATAAAATTATACAGCACAGGGAAACTGTAAAAATGAATACTAAATGAAAATTTAACCAAAATACTGTACAGTAAATAAAAATTTAACTGCCCCTTACCTGTCAGAAGAGAGCTAATGGCATACTGGAAGCCTGTACAGTGAGGTTTGTTTCACGCTCTGCTGTATAGTCCTTGTGGCTTAGCGCTTCTTTTTGATTATAATAATATTATTTTCACGCCGTTTAAAACTTTCTAAATTAGGACATTACACTGTCATTGTACATGTTAAGAGATATGGATGGCCACTGCTTTGGATGGTAATTTTTAGCAAACTGCTGCACTTCACACCATTTAGCACACATTTCCTTGACAAGAGCAATGGGCATATCATCCCTTTCCTCTTCCTCTGATGACAGTTCCTCCTCTGCAATCTCCCACTCAAGAGGGTTCCTTGATGTTGGTGAGGGGCTCTTGATTTAGGGGAATTGGAAACTGTGCCTCCAGTTTCCCAATTAAGCCTGAAAAGCCTTCCACATCCCCCCCAGGCGCTGTATAATCTTCCGGGTTTAGCGCTTCCCCCTTGATTATAATAATAATAAAATCCTCTGCAATCTGTTGCTGCTGCCCCTGAAGGTCTAGAAGTTCTGTGGCGAGTTCAATTCTATGCTTCTCCTCCAACTCTTCCACATCATCTTCAGTCACCTCTAGGACCAAGGTCTTTCCCAGGAACACAATATCCTCTTCTGGCTCAGGCTTATCTTCAAAGCCTTCAAAATCTCTGACTGCCACAAAGTCAGGCTGCAGTTTCTTCCATGTTGACTACATGGTCCTGGTTTTGTCTATAAGCCTCAAGCAGGTGAGGATACTGAAATGGCCTTTCCAGAACTTCCTGAGGGTTAAATTTGTTTGTGAAGTGACTTTAAAGCACCTTTCAAAAAGTGATGTTTACAGCATGCAAGTTAGTGGCTATACTGACTCATACTCATGCTCTTGACCCATTGTCCAGTGTGCATTCTGTGAGCACGTGACCCCTCAAGGAAGGTTCCTTGATGTTGGTGAGGGGCTCTTGATTTAGGGAATGGATCTGTGCTCCAGTTCCCCGAATTAAGCCTGAATGCCTTCCACATCCCCCCCCAGGTGCTGTATAATCCTCCAGGTTTAGTGCTTCCCCTTGATTATAATAATAATAATAATGTGAGCACGTGACCTGAGCCACTTTGTCCCATTCTGTACACATGAAAACTTGTCTGTCGACAACCAAGAGAACGTACAAAAACCAGGACATTCTTTTCTCCAACACCTCATTCAAAACCAATTTATTCAAGTAGTGCAATTAACAACTGAGGTTTGACTATCTAAAATGGTTGAGACCTAAACCATTTAATAAACCTGGTGTTTGTGAACTTTGAATCTGACTTAAGAAAAAATTATACAAAAAATACATTGTTCTTACACTAGCATGCAAATATAATGCTGTATGTACCAAAAATCATGTTATTTTTTAACTTACAGCACCTGACTCCTGTAGGCTGGAGTTAAATGTAATAGGTGTTGAGTGTGTGCTGCAGGTAGATTATTCAATTTTTTTTTTCTTCATCCCTTAACAGGCATTGCAATTTGTTCGATTTCATATCTTGAGCATAAAACTGTGCAACTAGCCTGCCAGTCGTGGAAAAATAATACTCTTATGCCAGTGCATTGGATACTACTCACACGGTCATATCATAGAGTGGTTCCCTGAGCTACTTTGAGAGTTGTCAGGTCATGCAGATGGTGTAATAACTGGATCGACTATATATATTTATATATTTCAGATGCCTTTTTCCACATTGTCCTTATATGACAGTTCCATCTTTAATGCAGCCTCACTATGACATCAACTGACACTTGAAGATTTTATAACTGACACCTATTTGCTACATTAACTGTAAACCCATTCTTTCAGCTGATATCCTTCCCTCAATTCCATATTCTTACCTAAATTCCCTCCTCTTTTTCATTCATCTCTGCCATGAAATGCTGTTTAACCCTTGAGGATCTTGCTATTTCCATGAATGCAATAATTAACTGCCACAGATTTGCTACATCATCTATCCTGTCCTCACCTCTCCCACCTTCACCTCTTTCAATCTACCATTTCTTCACATTTGTTATGCAGGTCTGAATGGCTTATGGTTATGTCACTTTTTTCTTTTTCTTTGTTTAACACTGGCCATCTCGCACTGAGGCAGGGTGACCCTAAAAAGAAGAAAAAAGTTTTTCTTCTTTTTACATTTAGTAATTTATACAGAAGGGGTTACTGGCCCCTTGCTTCCTGCATTTTAGTCTTCTGCTACAGCACATGTGGCTTGCAGAGGAATGATTCTTCTCCACTTGCCCATGGAGTATTATGGCAATTTCTATGAATATAATTATTTGACGGTCCTACCTTCAGTGTTGGTACTTGGTACTCTATTACATATTTCTTAACTGGCTTCAATTTTTCTTTAATTTAGGGCTTTTTGCCTCCCTCTTTCTGCTGGTGGTTTGACCCATATGGTTTGTACATGTTTTATATATTAGTTTTATTTATACCAATCCTTCCCTCATATTTCCATTACTTTTACATCTGTTTGTAATGCTGAATGTCCCCATATGGCTTCAACCACTCCAGAAATATAATGTCTGTGTGAAGTTAGGTGACTATTACATATTGTCTGATGGAAAAAACCATTTCTTTCTCATATGTTTAAACAGACTTCCACCCTTCTCTCTATCTCCAATCTCCTCTCCCCCACCCTACTCTTGCTATTCTTTTCATCGGGGTTGAATGTGCTGGCGAAGGGATTGATCTCTCAAAACAATGAGCTACCACCCCACATTTTTTCCCATAGCTTGGATGAAGCCTGATTACCTCCTATTCACTAGATGCTGTGTGAACCCTATTGATTTTATTCTTTCTCATAAATGTAGTCTTACAGGTAGTAGGTTGGTAGACAGCAACCACCCAGGGAAGTACACCCCCTTGCCAGATGACTGTGAAACTGAAAACCTGTAACTGTTTGCATGATGGTAGGATTGCTGGTTTCTTTTTCTGTCTCATAAACATGCTAGATAACAGGGATATCTTGCTACTCACACTTTGGTCACACTTCACAGACACGCACATGCATATATATATATACATACATCTAGGTTTTTCTCCTTTTCATAAACTAGCTCTTGTTCTTCTTTATATCTTCTATGTCCATGGGAAGTGGAAAAGAATTCTTTCCTCCGTAAGCCATGCGTGTCGTATGAGGCAACTAAAATGCTGGGAGCAATGGGCTGGTAACCCCTTCTCCTGTAGACATTTACTAAAAAAGAGAAGAAGAAAAACTTTATAAAACTGGAATGCTTGAATGTGCATGGATGTAGTGCGGATGACAAGAAACAGATGATTGCTGATGTTATGAATGAAAAGAAGTTGGATGTCCTGGCCCTAAGCAAAACAAAGCTGAAGGGGGTAGGGGAGTTTCAGTGGGGGGAAATAAACGGGATTAAATCTGGAGTATCTGAGAGAGAGCAAAGGAAGGGGTAGCAGTAATGTTGAATGATCAGTTATGGAAGGAGAAAAGAGAATATGAATGTGTAAATTCAAGAATTATGTGGATTAAAGTAAAGGTTGGATGCGAGAAGTGGGTCATAATAAGCGTGTATGCACCTGGAGAAGAGAGGAATGCAGAGGAGAGAGAGAGATTTTGGGAGATGTTAAGTGAATGTATAGGAGCCTTTGAACCAAGTGAGAGAGTAATTGTGGTAGGGGACCTAAATGCTAAAGTAGGAGAAACTTTTAGAGAGGGTGTGGTAGGTAAGTTTGGGATGCCAGGTGTAAATGATAATGGGAGCCCTTTGATTGAACTTTGTATAGGAGTTTAGTTATAGGTAATACATATTTTAAGAAAAAGAGGATAAATAAGTATACAAGATATGATGTAGGGCGAAATGACAGTAGTTTGTTGGATTATGTATTGGTAGATAAAAGACTGTTGAGTAGACTTCAGGATGTACATGTTTATAGAGGGGCCATGGCTTAGCACTTCTTTTTGATAATAATAATAATAATAATAATAGAGGGGCCACAGATATATCAGATCACTTTCTAGTTGTAGCTACACTGAGAGTAAAAGGTAGATGGGATACAAGGAGAATAGAAGCATCAGGGAAGAGAGAGGTGAAAGATAAGATAAGATAAGATT